ATATGTATATGTACGTGTATATGTATATGTAGGTCTCCGCAAGCATCATGACCTCATTTTCATCGCGGAAGACCAGGAGAGGAAAACGTGGTTCACGGGGCGTCCGTGCGTCCGAGTTGAAACTTGGTGGAGGGTGTTGGAGCTGGCGGCTTCGGAGTGTATGCATGATTATCCGTAAGGACTTCGCCCCCTGCTGCCAGCCCCCTCTTTATCACAATGGGATCTATCAGAGTCGCGTCGGTGCGTCTTGGGGCGCTGCCTTGGCGCATCTGGGAGCATCATGTGGAGGCGGACAGTTTCAGCAGCGCATATTGAGACGTTGACCTGATCCTAGTGGCCTCAGCCCATCCCGCCACCGTGTCTGGGTTGTGAGTCTGAGGCCTCTTGTATATGTGTTGGGGTGTCGTGGGGAGCCTCTCGGGGGCCTCTTGGAGGCGGTTTCGGTGCCCCTTGGGGACCTCTGAGGGCCTCGTGGGGTATCTTTTGGGCCTCTTGGAGGCCTCTTTGGTGCGGCTTGGGCGCCTCCTGTGGCCTCTTGGGGCCTCCTAGGGGCTTCTCAGGGCTTCTCGAAGTGCTTCTTTGCCCATCTTGGAGCCCTCTCGGGCCATCTTGGGGCCCTCTTGGAGGCGTCTTGGGCTGTCTTGGGGCGGTCTTGAGAGCTTCTTGAGTCATCTTGGAGCGTCGGACAGCCGAAAATGCGAGAACCCTAAACTCCTTCAAGAATCTTTCGTAAAGTCGACGATGTTGGCCTCTTGGGGCTCTATCTGGAGGCCTCTTGGAGCGCTCCTGGGGCCTCTTGGGGCCCTCTTTGGCCGTCTTGGAACCACCTTCAGGCGCCGTGGAGCACTCTTGGCTTCGACAATACGACTATGGCGTAATTCGCGAGGGCTTATGGCCACGTGGACGCGTATCTGAATCATTTGCAAGGGTTTGTTGACTCGGGGGCGCAAGACTTGAGCAATTTGCAAGGGTTTTTGGCCTCGGGGATGCGAACCTTGAGTAATTTACAAGGGATTCTGGCTTCGGGTAGCGATTATTGAGCAATTTGCCAGGGTTTGTGGCCTCGGGGACGCGAACATTGCATACTTCACTAGGGATTCTGGCTTCGTGGATGCGATTATTGCATGGGGATGCAACGCTTTAGTAATTATTGACGCTTCGCGTATCCCCACCAGGTCCCGGACTTTGCTTTCGCCGCCTGACCGTCGTCTCGTGGCCGCGACCAAAAAAGTATCCCCACCAGACCTTGAGCTCGCGTTTCCTCTGCCTAATTCGTCTCTGCGTAACCCGCTTTGACCTGACTCGCCGCCGGCGCGCTCGCCCGCGGCCGCTGTTTAGAAAGTATCCCCACCAGCCCGTCCAGAAACGATGCCCAGGGGAGTTGAGGTTCGGGGGTTGGGGCGCCCGCGTGGGCCGTCTCCGTGGCACCCGCTCTCCTCGCGCTCTGGCCGGGGCGGGGGTCTCGCGGGCAGGCGCGCCGCGGCGGCGGGCTGAAATCACGCGCGCCGCGGGGCTGGGTGCGTCTAAGATGCGCGGGTTTCGGATGTTCGCTGTACGCAGCGACTTTGGCGCGTGGAAGAACTCCGCTAGGCAGCGCGCTGCGGCGGTGGAACTCTAGGGGAGGCATGCCGGCGGCGGGGGTCCAACCGTGGCCGCCGACCTAAATGGCGCCCGACCTTTTGATGGCGTTGTCTCATCATGCCAGGGCGCTGGCTTATTATGCCAGGACCGTTCGGTCAGTCCTGAGTCTTCTGCGGGCCGACGCGGGGGCCCTGGAGCTCGCGCGCGCGCGTTCGTTGTGGGCGCGAGGAGGGCGCGCGCGCGCAGGGGTAGGGGACCGCCCCGCCAGGGGGGGAAGTGCATTGCGGGCGGAGGACCCGGCAGTCGGCCGCTTCAAGTCGAGTGCTATCGCAGGGGATGCGCGTGCCATGGCGACGTGGCTTCGCGAAGAGGCGCGCGCGCGGGTCGCGGCGGGCGGCGCGCGCCGGTGCCAGGGCTGAAAGGCCCGACGTGGCAGGCTCCCTCAGTATATGTTGACAATTCTGCTTGCGGTTCGGTTCGGAGGTGGCCGATTGAAAGTCGCTGAATCGGAGGTGGCCGCGCGCGCAATTCAGGGGGCACCTCAGGTGTACATCCAGTTTCGGCAGCGAAGAGGATGCGCGAACCCTGACCCGGCGAGCCGTGCGCCCATGAGCGCGGAATCGGCTACCCAGGGCGGGGTACACGCGCGTGTTTGCGCGCAGGTGTGGCGAAATTGCGCTTGCGCGCTGCAGGGGCGCAGCCTCTGCGGCGCGTGCGCGATCCGCCGGCGCCTGCGCCCAGGAGTGCGCGCGTTCCCAGCGCTCGCCTACGCGGAGGCGTTGTCGCGCGTCAAGATGACGGCGGCGCGATTGAACCTCCCTCGAGCGTTCGACTAGGGGTCTCACTGCTTCCGGCGAGGCAGCGACGATCAGGTCCAAGCGCGCGGGCCACAGTTCGTTCGGCCCTCAACGGTGGCCTTCGGGTTCTCGCACGGCGCTGTCGCGATGACAGCGCCGCGCGCGCCGGGGGCCCGCGCGCCCGCGTGCGCAGCGGCGAAGACGAAAGCGTTATTGCTGGTGGCTGAGTCCGCCATTCAGCATTCTGAGTGAGAAGAGGCCCCAGGCTCGCAGCATTGGGGTCTGGGGGGCGCAGGGTGCCCCTCTGCGGCGTGCCCAGGACGTGCCGGAATGCGCCCTGGCGAGCCAGGGGCACAGAGCAGGGGTCGCCCAGGGGCAGGCCAGCGCCTGCTCGGCGGCGTGTGCCTGAGATTGTGCCTGGCGTGGGTCGGGCGTGGTCGGGGCCAGCTCGCGCCTGGCGCTGGTCGGCGGCGGCGGCGCGCGAGCTGGGTTGGCGGCGCCCAGTGCCGTGTGAGCATTGGGCTGGTCGCCAGTGTACTCAGCACTGGGCGCCTGCGGCGTAGGGCCAGGGGCTTCCCCTTTCCCGAGCTGGCCGCTGGTCGGCCCAGCGCCGTGTCAGGTCCATGCCAATGTTGGTGCGGACCTGCTTTCTCAGGGCGGGCGCGGGGTGCGTTGGCTCCGCGGGAGACATCGCGCTGCGGGGAGGGAGCAGCTCGCGGTGTTAGCGCTGTCGACAGTGTATCGCCGAACGCACTTGCTCTCCTGCGTGTTTGTGGCGCCGAGGGGTGCCGTGGGGAGCTGCGCGCGCAGTTCGTCATGCCGACGCGGCGCCGCGCGCGAGCGGCGCTGCGCGCGGGAACAAGTCAAAGTTGCGTATGCAGTTCGCCCTGCCGGCGCGGCGCCGCGCGCGAGCGGCGCTGCGCGCAGGAGCGAATCAATGCGGTATCTTGACAGGACAGCGCGGCAACACAACGGAGGTTGCCGCTGCGTTCGCGCCCGCCCGCCATCCCTGGGCCCGTGCGGTGCGGCCAGTGGGGGGAGTGCTTGTCGTTGCTTGGGGCAGGTCGAGATCTTTTCAGGAGGGAAAGAAACACACAGACACAATAAATCGGCGATTCCCAGAAAATATGGGAAAATATTGGAAGTGGGGGGGAAGACAAAAACCCAGAACATATATGAAAATATGGGGGATATTCTTATTTGTGTGTATTTATTTGTGTGTTCCAGTTCCCCTTCATCTTTGCGGTGGCCGCGGGAGAGGGGGGCTGGTCGTCAGTGTGCTCAGCGTTGGGCGCTTGCGGCGCAAGGCCAGGGGCTTCCCCTTCCCCGGGCTGGCTGCCGCTCGGCCCAGCACCGTGCCAGGCGCGAGCCAATGCGGGTGCGGACCTGCCCTGGGGGATCGTGGCCCCAGAAGCGCGTATGTAGCGTAATTGGCGGGAGATCGTGGCTTCGGGGGTGCGAAAACAAGGGGTGCCCGAGTGTGGAGCAATTCATGATGGATCGTGGCCCCAGAAGCGCGTATGTACGTAGAGTAATTGACGGGAGATCGTGGCTTCGGGGGTGCGAAAACAAGAGGTGCCCGAGTGTGGAGCAATTCATTATGGATCGTGGCTGCTGGGGCGCGAAGACGAGGTAATTTTTCTAGGGATCGCGGCCTCGGGGGCGCGAGTGTGGTGTAATTTGCTAGAGGTCGTGACCTTTGGGGCGCGTGTGGCGTAATTTGCACGGTATCGTGGCTTCGGGGCGCGAGCGTGGCGTATTTACAAAGGATCACGGCCTCGGGGGCGCGAGCTTGGCGTAATTTGCAAGGGATCGTGGCCTCGGGGGCGCAACTGCGGAATAATTTGCAGGGGATCGTGGCCCCAGAGGCGCGACTGTAGCGTAATTTGCGGGAGATCGTGGCCTCGGGGGCGCGAGCACGGTGTATTTTACGAGGGATCGTGATTTAGGGGGCGCGATTGCGGCGCAATTTTCGAGGGATTGACGAGGGCTCATCGCGTCGTGGGCGCGACATTTCTGTATTTTTGCATGTCCCACGGCCCCGCGGGAATTCAGACAACGCGATTCGGGGGAGGTATTTGGGTACCTTTCGGCTCCCCCCCACTCGCGCGAGGTTCAACAGTTTACATTCGGAAGCAGGAAGCAGGACTGTAACATTGGAAATGGAAAGTGGACGTGGTGCAGGGAGCAGCAAACCTAACCCTCGCAGCCTGTTGGCTACACAAGGGGGCCGTCGGATATCTGTGTATATATATATATATATATATGTCTGTCAGACTGTCTGGTTGTCTGTCAGTCAATCTGTCTCTCTGTCAGCCTGTCTGTCTGTCTGTCTGTCTGTCTGTCTGTCTGTCTGTCTGTCTGTCTGTATGTCTGTAAGTGTGTATATTTATGTAGATATCAGTGTATGTACGCATGCGTGCAGGCATGTCTGTCTGTCTGTCTGTCTGCCTGCCTGTATGAACGAATGTATGTATGTCTGCCTGCCTGCCTGGTTGTCTGTCTGCCTGTCTGTCTGTCTGTCTTTCGGTCTGTATGTATGTATGTATGTGTGTATGTATGTGCATGCATCCGCACGCTTGCGGCGTCGTGCGCCGCTTGCGCAGCAACGGGTGTGTGCAGGGCTCGGCGCCGACTTACACGCAGGGCGCGGCGCCGACCTACACCCAGGCCCCCTGCACTGCCTGGGCTCTTGTCGGGCGGAGGCCCGCTCGTGTGCCCCATTCAAGGACGTTCTTTTGGACCCCCCCTTCTTCCCAAGAGAGGGTTGGACCCGGGGAGGAGGGAGGATGAAGGAGATAGGGGGGATGGGGTGGGTAGTGGGGAGGGAAGAGCTGTGAGGAAACAAGTAGGAAGGAGGGTGTAATGGCTTTGTCTCATCTGGTAGTTCCATGAGGTATTTCCATGGAGCTGCAAAGTTGGGTTGTGGGATGGTGTATACGCCCTCCTGGCCTTGGCCAGGAGGGCGTATACACCGTGCCAGGGCCAGAATGACCCTGGCCTGGCACGGTGGTGGTGTATAGACGCCTCCCGTGTAAGGTACGCCGTGTCCTGCAGACGGGAGCCTCCGAGCTGCCACTCGGCGTCCACGTCCCCCCCGTCGTCAGGGGCGAGCGCTGAGCGCCACCACGTGTTTGCGACGTGTCGCTCGCTGCATCGCGATGTCGCTCCACTTTTCTGCCCGCGTGCAGGCTGCTGGCGGGTGGCGCCTTTTTCTCATGCGCGTTGAAGCGGAGTCTTTCCTTTCATTTCGTTTCTTTTTTTCCTTCTCGTCGTCGTCGTCGCTTTCGTCCTGCTCTTCTCGCGGATCGCGTCGCCGTTGTTGGAATCGAAAGTGCTCGACGCCTAACTTCACGGAGTCTGGCTTAGCACCGGTGAGTTTTGGAATAGGCGGGGGGCCCGTCGGGCAAGCTGATGGAGTGCGTGCTGAAGCATTTGTCCCCGGATCCGTATCTAATTGCAGTAGGCGCCGATGCGTGCCCTCTCCGCCTCTCCTGAAAACAGTAAGCAGTCATGCCCGCCTCGTGGTGTCACACGCGAGCCACTTATATCCTCCGAGCAGCCTGTGCCCTGGCCGTGTGCGAGAAGCGCTCCAGGTGATGCGTGCCGTTCCCAGAACTGTGCTTCTCTCGGAGTCGTTTTTTCGTTTGGCCTTGAACCGTCGCTCGGTCGATTGACACCGTTCGAGCCGCCGCATTGTACCGCGCTGCTCTTTCGGACCCTGGAATTGTCAACGCAGTGCTTCGTATACACTTCGTGGTTGCTGGACACGTTCAGCTCTTGCATCAAACGGTTTCGGGCGGAATGAGGGCTGGTAGCTCCCGCCACTCATACATTTTTGTTTGACGCATGGACTTGCTTCCCCGCGCCGCTCGCATACCGTCTGGGCGGAACAGGCTGACAGCCCCAAACTGCTTGTATGTAGCTCGTGGCGAATGCGTTTAGTGCAGGAGGGGGAGGAGGAATTTTCTTCCTGTCTTCCCTTCCCCTCGCCTTCGCAAGAACGGTTTTTTGAAGGCAGATCTGCCTTCAAAAAGCCGTTCTTACAGAGTTTCCGTTCTCCCCCAGAGCTTCCTGCCTTGGGGCGCCGGCGAGGCAAGCTCCGCGGGGCAGCCTGTGACGACCACGGTCCGCCCTCCGTGACGCCGAAGCTATCGTCGTCGGCGGCAACGGTGCAGGTGAGGAGGGCGACCAGGAAGAATTGCATGTTGAGGCGAGGATGTTGACATTGTGGTTGTGGTTGTTGTTGTTGTTGAACATTATTTCTTCTTAAGAATAATTATTGTTGGGACCCCTGGTGCACGCCCCCCCCGCCGCGCCTAGGCCGCAGCCACGTTTTCATCATTTTCGTGAGGAAGCCTCAGACAAAACGATGTGATCCAGATCCGGTTGTTTTGTTGTCCCCCGCTTTCCCTTGCAAAAAAATAAGGTAAAGTGGACATTTCTTGTTCTAACATAATCAAACTTCAAGAATCCCTTGCAAAAAATAAGGTAAAGTGGACATTCGCGCGCGCAAAACGAAATCCTTCCAAAACCTTAGTTTTCGTAGCGTTTTTTTTGTTTTTTTTTTTTTTTTGTTTTTTTTTTTTTAAACATCAAAAACCAATGGTTTTTCAAACAAAAAATGTCAACATTCCATCCCGCGCGCTCTTGCGGATTCGTAGGAAACCCAACACTTTTTAAACATTTCTGTCAAACGGGCTTTTGCGAGCAACTTTTTCGAACTTCTGCAACAACGGTTGCGCACCTGCCAGGGCCATCATCCCTGTCAAATAATACCATGCGGGACACATTCGTTTTTTCTTCGCGCGCGCACGCCGTCGTCGTCGGCCGCGGGGCCCTGAATAGTAGCCACGGTCGTCCGCATGCCACGAAGTGAAGTGTCCGAACGTCATAGGGCGGGAAGCTGGGTGTGGGTGGTGGCGAAGAGTCGTTTGGAAATTTGGTAGAGCTTGAACCGGCCCCCCCACAAAGTGGGGGTATTGCCCGCCTCCTATGAAAACCCTGGCACTGGTGAGAACGGAGTGTCCCCACGTGCTAGTAATTGTTGTTGTTGTTGTTGTTGTTGTGCTTGTTGCGGTGTTTATGGTTGTGATTGTGGCTGTGGTGATTGTTGTTGTTATTGTTGATGTTGTTGCTGTTGTTGTTGTCACATTATGCTGTTGCTGCTGTTGCTGTAACTGGTGCTGTTGCTGTTGCGGTTTTGGTTGTTGTTGTTGTCGTCGTCGTTGTTGTCGTTGATGTTCTTGTTGTTGTTGACGATGGTTGTGATGATGCTGGTGATGGTGATTGTGGTGATGATGATGATGACGATGCTGACGATTATGGTGACCATGCTGATGCTGATGCTGATGCTGATGCTGCATCAACTCATGTTAAGGACTGTTGATGCACACGATTGTGATGACGACGATACTGATGCGGATGATGACGATGATGATGCTGATGACGATGATGATACTGATGATGCTGATGATGCTGATATTGTTGTTGCTGATGCTGATGATAATGCTGATGATGGTGATGATGACGACGATGCTGATGATACTGATGATGATCAACATCAGCATGATGCTCATGGTCATGATGATGCTGATGGTGATGATGCTGATGCTGATGGGGCTGCTGTGGACGATGCGGATGAGGACGACGACGATGCTGATGCTGATGCTGGTGCTGATTCTGATGATGGGGTGATGATGAGAATGACGATGCTGTTGCTGTTGCTGCTGCTGGTGATGATGATGCTGATGTTGATGATGATAAGGGGGATCATGCTGATGCTGAAGATATTTCCGATGATGATGCGGATGCTAACGACTATGACGATGACGACGACAATTTCGTTGACGATGCTGCTGCGGATGATGACGACAACGACGATGATGACGATGATGACGATGACGATGACGACGATGATGATGATGCTGATGTTGCTGATGCTGCTGATGATGATGATGATGACGGTGATGATGATGATGATGATGATGATGATGATGACGATGAAGATGGCGATGATGATGACGATGATGATGCTGATGTTGATGATGTTGATGATGATCATGATGATGATGATAATGATGATGACGATTCTAGCTAGGATTATGATGCTGATGCAGATGATGATGCTGCTGCTGCTGATGAGGGTGATCGTGATGACGATGATGGTGATGATGATGATGCTTATGGTGATGATGTTGTTGTTGATGATGATGCCGAGTCTGATGATGATGATGATGATGAGGCCGATGCTGATGCTGATGACGACGATGATGATGCTGATGATGCTGATGATGAACATGACGTTGATGATGAGGATGATGCTGCTGCTGATGATATTGACGACGATGCTGATGATGATGATGATGATGGTGGTGATGACGATGATGCTGATGATGATGATAATCATGATGATGATGATGATGATGATGATGATGATGATGATGATGATGATGATGATGATGATGATGATGATGACGATGCTGCTGCTGATGATGACGATGATGATGATGATGATGATGATGATGATGATGATGATGATGATGATGATGCTGGTGATGATGAATATCAGGATGATGCTGCATAATATGCTGATGATGAGGAGGATGAGGAGGAGGGGGACAAGGAGAGAGAGGAGGGGGAGGATGAAGAGGAGGAGGAGGAGGAGGAGGAGGAGGAGGAGGAGGAGGAGGAGGAGGATCAGGAGGAAGAGGAGGAGGAGGAGGAGGAGGAGGAGGAGGAGGAGGGGGAGGGGGAGGATGGGGGAGGAGTAAGAGGGGGTGGGGGAGACGGACGAGTAGGATGGAGAGTTGGAGGATGATCAGATGATGGAAGACCTGAGAAATTCCAGGGCGCAGCATTGATGCTCCAACATGTGTTCCCGTCCCAGTCCCTTTCTTTGAGGGCCATACAAGCATCCCTTTCACTGGGGGGCTGCCCCGTGAAATATAAGTGCCGCATGGACCATCCATTCAATCGAGGGCACAGTTTTGAAAAGAAGGGCGGCTCCTTTTCAAAAAGGGTGGGCTCATTTTCAAAACGGGTACGATGTCCTGGGAGAGCCCTGCCCCAACCCGTATACCTGTTGCACTCAAGCGAGAACTGTAATTCTTGACGCTTCGCGTATCCTCAGCAGGGATCCGTAGCCTCTGGTTCAAGCCGTCTGGCTCAAGCAGCGTGCATCAGGGCGCACGCTGGGCGAGCCGGCCCGCGGGGGCACGCGTACGGGGGCGCAAGCGTGCGGGATGACGGGCGACTGCATGCGGGCGACCTGGTCGGGTGGCCCGCGTCCGGTGGGGCGACGCGAGACCGCAGCGGCGAGGCGGCTGCGGCGGCACCGGGCAGACGCGCGAGCCTTGCTGCGGCCTGGCGCGCGGGCTGGGCCTTGGCCGCGGGCAGTGGCAGCCGAATGGGAGGAGGGAGGAACGACGCTGGGAGGAACGGCAGTGGCAGCCCAGTGGGAGGAGGGAGGGACGGCAGTGGCAGCACGGTGGGAGTCGGAGGGCGGGGTGAGCCAGGAGGGGCGTGGAGAGACGGCAGTGGCAGCGCCGTGGGCGGGTGGGCAGTGGGTGCGAGCCTTGGCGGCGATCGAAGCAGCAACCCGCGTCCACACGACGGTAACCAGCAGCGCCACCGTGGCCTGCACGACGTGAACCAGCAGCATCACCGAGACCAGCAGGGCGGCAACCAACAGCAGCAACTCCAGCAGCACCACGACCCACACCCAACTCCAGCAGCAGCACCGCGACCATCGCCCCCAGCACTAGACCGACACCAGCAGCTCCGCGACCGGCTCTGGCAGCTCCACGACCAACTAGCGGCCGACTCCAGCACCGCCAGAGCCACCAACCAGCAGCACCACAACCAACCAGCAATCGACGCAAGCGACCAGGCAGCAGCACAGCGGCCAACTTCAGAAACACCACGACCAGCGCCAGCAGCGCGACAGCGTGACGACCAACTCCAGCAGCCTCACGGCCGCTCGTTGACCGACCCTGGCGTCAACATCGGCACCCTGCCACAATACGTCGTGATGAAGATCGCTGTTGCTGTCGGTGTCCGCCCGCAGGGCTCCCAGGCGTGCGCCTGCCGGTGGCTCGTAAGAACCATGGGGCACCTGAAGGGCGACGACCAACCTGCGACCACCCCCAGCGCTCCCAGAGCGACCCACCAGCAGCACTCCGACCAACCAGCGACCGACCCCAGCGACCAAGCGGCAGCACAGCGACCTACGTCAGAGGCACAACGAGCAGCTCCAACAGCACCACGGCCAACTCCAGCAACACATGGGACGACACCAGCAGCACTGGACCGACGCCAGCAGCATTGCGACCAGCTCCAGCAGCGCCGCGATCAACCAGCCACCGACCACAGCGCCGCCATAGTGAGCAACCAGCAGCACCGCGACCCACCTGCGACCTACCCGAGCGTCTCCACAGTGAGCAACCAGCAGCACCACGACCAACCAGAGACCTACCCCAGCGACCGCCCAACAACGCCACGACCGACTCCAGCAACGCCGCGGCCAGCTCCAGCAACGCCACAACCGACTCCTGCAGCACCTCGGCCGACAACAGCAGACCTAGACCAACACCAGCAGCACCGCGACCGACCCCGACAGCTCCACGACCAACCGGCGACCGACTCCAGTACCGCCAGAGCCACCAACCAGCAGCGCCGCGACCAACCGCCAACCGACGCCAGAAACCTACAGCAGCACAGCGGCCAACTCCTGCAGCACTGCATCCAACGCCAGAAGCGACCTGGCCGACGCCAACAGTACTAGACCGACTCCAGCAGCACCGCGACCAACCGGCGACCGACCTTAGCACCATCAGAGCGAGCAACCACGAGCTCTGCGACCATCATGCAGCCGACGCCAGCAACCAAGCAGCAGCACTACGAGCAACCCCAGCACGTGGTCACCAGACAACGGGCGCGAGCAGCGGCCATACTACGGCGAACGATGAGGCCCCGCTCCTGGAGTGGAGGGACGGGCGGTCGGCTCGACACGTGGGGCGGCTGCTTATCGGGCGCGGGCGGCCTCTAGTCCCCAGGGGACACTCTTACTTGAACCTGCTTCAGAAGGGGTTCCGTGCTCTCCCACGGGATGCCGCGCGGCAGCCCAG